CACTATTTAGGTCCGCTAGATTTTCCTCTCGAAAACAAGTTTCTTCCTGAAGACAATATTAACCATCTGAAATTAAACCTTGATCTATAAACATTTGCAACATTATCCTGTTAAACTGAATATTGTCATCCCTAGCTCCCCTGACCTCAGGGATTAGTCAGCTTCTGCTTCTCTCAGTGTTTTTCAATCCATCCTTCAACTTGCTCTGATCACCTTCTTCACGACTTGCCACTCCCTTAGCCAGTACCTGCGCTGCCACTCTGACTTCCTTTGATAAAATAGTTCTCCACAATAGGAACCATGCTACTGCAATTACATTTTAAAGGTATGACCTTTAGGGCAACTACCTCATGTTTCCAGATCTGTGGTATCAGACTCTGAACTTTCAACCTGAAGGCAAGCAGAGCAAGATAGTGCTGCACCAGATGCTAGTAAACATGCATACAGCCACCTCAGACTGGCAATGAATGAATTCCTCATTTTGTCATACTCACTATACATCTGAGAGACCTCTTTTATATTGTGGATAAATAATATCAACAATCATAAAATGCTGGCCTCAACTAAAGCTGGGGGAATATTTACGGATCAGATGCCCTGCAAACGGCAACACTCTCCTATGTTCTGAATAGAAAATAACCAAATGCAGAACAGAATATTTGAGAGCAAAAAGTTTAACATCCAAAGATTAAAAAAAAAATCTCAAAAGTAACAGCTGACATACCAGTGGGAATGGAGAAAAAAATGCTGAAACACATTCTGAGCAAAAGAGAAAGGTTGAAGGACAAATTAAAGATAGAGCAATCAAACTGAAATATTATCTGTTTCAGCCACCAGTATCCTTTTGTTAAACACTTCTGGGAGGAAGAGGCCCCTAGTGTTGTTGCCATGTAGAATTCTATTCCCAGCGTCTTATGCCTGGAGTAAACTGAAAACTACAATTTGCTAATGTCTGTGATACAATTTGGCAAAACTCTTCAACATACAGTGAAGGCTGGTAACTTTCCCTTTACTTGGCATGGGTCACACAGAGGTTTGAAAAGAAAATTCCAGTTCAAAGCTAAACTTGGACAAATCAATGAGCGTGTCTCCCTTTCTTGCCCTTTTGAGAGACAGACCTCCCATCCTAAACACCAAATTACTTCCCAGCTTTCAAAGTGTACCAGCAACTCAGATCTTGGCAAAGAATGTTCTGAATTCAGATTTACAAAAAAGTTTCATACCTCTTGATACAACATTAGGATGCCCCTGTAAGTTAGATTCATCTTCCCATATTCATTAATTAGGAGGTAAGAAATCAGAATACGATTATTAACTTCCTGGTTATCAAAATGACCAGAATTTACATTTAACTAAATTTAGACCAATTTCTTCATTTTAATAGCCAAAAAATTCAAGGCATAGTTCTTTTCACTCAAACCTAAGTCAACTATTAAATAATACAAAAGAAACAGCTGGGTTTTGTATAAAAGATATAGACACTGATTACCTTCTATCCCAAGACAGTTTCAGTGACACCTTAAGCAATTGCTCTGATTCCCCTTTATTTTAGCAGTTTGAGAACGGAGCATCATTGCACTGTCGCTGCTAAGTAAGCATAAGACACTTAAAAAAAAAAAAGGTTCATTGCTTCCCAATCCAAATGAAGTAAAGATTATCTAATTTTATTATTTCTGAAAGGATTAAAGACGGTTTTAAGTTTTAAACAACATTTAGAAATAGATTTTTAAAAATAACATTTTTTTCTTTACAAACTTTAAAAAAAATCATCCTATATTGAAGGCGTAAATGATCTAATTCTTGGCAGGGATCTATTACTCTAACACAGCAAAAATAGAATTTACATCCAAAATTCAGCTGAACATTACAGTTTATCTTTAACATGTTAATTTTTTTTAGTGAAGAAAACAGTAAAGCCTATTCAAAAGGAGCTAAAAACATTTGTTAGTGGAGTTCAGATACCTGATGATAACTTCAAGAGACAAAGAGATGGATGAAGTTGAAGCTGATATTCATTTAAGAAGTAACTTTTTGTGAATAAGGAAGGAAATGCTCAGATTTGAAAAAGACCTTTCTTTACTACAGATTTTACCACTCCACTTCAAATGAGACATTTTGTAGCTATTCTTGAAGACAAAGACAAAAGGAAACTTCAGGTACATTAAGTATTCCGTGTGTTACCCTGTTTCACATACCACAAAAATGCCCTAGACAATATGTATTTTAAAACAGAAACCACATCAGTTTGATGACTTAATGTGGGAAATATGCCAAATATATGAGGGTAAAGGCATTTTTGCATTATTATTTGGACTTTGTTATTTTAGCCAAACACATTTGTCTCAAACCTTCATCTCTGTCTAATTAGAAAATATTGTATGACCACAGTACAATTTGAAGACTGTGAATCAGTTAATGCTTAATTTCAGCTAAAAAAGCTGAACAACCTGACAGTCAAAGCAGGTAAGCAAAGGTCTTTTGACCTTGGCAAAAACATGTAATGCTGTAAGAAACTAATATCTACTTTTTCAGTACTGTTGTAATAGATCTCTTAGTGTGTTGCATTCAAAAAGCCCTTAACATGAGGCAGAATATTATACTCCCATCTTATGGTCCAAAACTGGGATATAAGAAAATACAGAAGTTGTTCAAGGATGTGAAGGATCTGATCATACCTGTTTTGAGAGATGCCTGAGGTTTTACACTGGACAACATGAAATACTAGGCAGTAGTTCTTTCCATAGAAACCTGTCCAAATGATGATTATATTAGTGCCCCATTGGTTCAAGTGGTTCGCTGTAAGTCTGGGCTTTGCAGAATGGCTTTAATTTGTACTGCCAATTTCTTATACAAGTCAGATATATTCTGCTGTATACACAAAAAACATATATAATTTCCCAGTTCCCTGAATACAATGCAAAACAACAACACACAGAAGATCCTAAACAGGCCTATACAATAGAAGACACAATCTTTATTTTAATAGGAAGTAAATAAAGAATAGAAAAAAGATTTTTGGCTAGATCAAAAGTTTTTTGGTTGCATTCCCCTCCCTACCTCCCCTGCCCCCAAATTCAATGAAGGGTTTGTGTTGGTTTTTTTTCTGGAAAAAAAGAAGTTGAAGTATGTCAATACTTTCTAATATTTTGCTCCAGGTTTTATTTTGTTTTTTCCTCAAAGTTTGTCAACATTACAAAATGTAATATAGACACTACATAACACTACAAAACATTGATTACTCCACCTGTAACAACCTCATGTTTAGCTCCCATCACTCCAGAAGAGTTACAAGGCAGCCGAGTTGTTCACTAAGGATTATGACAAATCTGACCAGAGCTGCAGAAGCTAAAACAGCTAACCCAGCAAATAGGTACCAAAGCAGCATTCATGTGGATCTCTGCAAAGAAAACCACTGAGCTTTGTGCTTGGAATCTATCTCAATTATCTTTGTCAGGCTCCTTGAGTGGGAGGAGGACAAATGAGGTACTTTGCTCACTTTTATAAATGTCATTGGGTAGTCACAGTTTCTTAAGATATGAACGGTGTGATCTGAGAAACTAAAGAAAGATGATGAATCCCTCAATTCTTGCAGTGATTAACAGATTAATCCAAAAGCCACTGAAATTAGTAGAAAGACTGCACAGGTATTAGTTCAAGCCCAGATGCCTTCTTAACTTAAGGTATGAATTATGTTCATAACCACTCATGTCAATTTATATGGATGTGAACTTCCCTCAAGCAGGCAAAACATTTACCATTGGACCACAGAGAAAGATCATGGTCGAAAATACTTTTGAAAAATGTCCAGAGATAAAATTTTAATCATTTTGTCTCTCAGGAAGAAACCACAGCAAATGTCTTGTGTCAGAAAACAAAAAGCCCTGTCTGCATCATTGTTCATAAGAAATGGAAGTATGTAGCATTTACAAGCTATTCATGACTGACTGCAGTGTCTGACTAATTAATCCAATAGCAGCTTGCTGATGTTTTTTAACACATAGGGATTTGTGTATCATAAAAAGAAATCTGAAATACTTGAAACGCTACACTTGTTCAGAAATTTTCCTTTCCTGGTTCAGTTTAGAACGCCTACACATCTTCATCTTATGCTTAGAGAATCATGAAAATAGGATCAGGGTCAGTTTAGTGCTTTGAACAAAGAAGAATCAGACTCACCAAAAGCAGCAATGAAAAAATATTGAGATTTAACTTTAAAGTCTTTCCAGTCCCCCAATTACATCAGCTATTGTCAGAATTCTTTTTTTCATATTTAAGTATAACAGTAGATCGTTGCTAATACATATGAAAATAAGATGTCTTACCTGTGAATTTGATATCAAAGATTCAGCTGCATAGTAAATGCTATACAGAGCCAAAGCCTCAGATGTGCTAGGATCTCCAGCAGAAATGACAGCAAATTACAGATCTGAACAGGAATTGGTTTTCCCATTTCGTGAAAACTGCCTAAAACCATACACTCCCCATGCTTTTTGAGAAAGATCAAGATCTTTCGATAATTTTTGTTTGCAAAAGAAAGTGAGAAAGAAAAAATGCTACCCTGGTTTAGAAAGTACAACAGGGATTAAACAGATATGAGTTCAAGCCCTTCTTGCAAATCAGCTAAAGCAAAAACTTGAATGTCAGTCATCCGCGTACCATACCACTACAGTATTTGCCAGTGTATTTTGGATTCCCCCTCATCCTATCTTCGTCTCATTCCTCCTGCTTGGCTTGCTATTTTACAACAAGTATATTTTGGCCAAAATATTCTTGAAAAAAACTTTGGTGATGAGTCACAAATTAGTCTACTTAACCAGAAAAAAGAAAACAGGAAAAATCACATGCCTGTAATAGGAATGATGCAAAAATCTTGTTTTACCGGGCACTAGGTTTCACGATGTCTGTAGACGTTTCTTTTAGTGATGAAAGCTGGCAAGGTTTATTTCCTGAGTGTATGCTTACAGCTCTATTACGTAAGAAATGAAGGATCAATGTATTACCATGAAACCACTGAGCGATCCTGTTGGTGTTCTTCTCAAACCCAGCACGTCGAGGGATCTGCTCTTCTTTGAACCAGCGAATGATGACATCTCGGGACAAGGGTCTAGAAGGACGCTCCCAGATGTTACTGCATTGAAAGGCAAGTAATTACAGAAGGGAGTCATACAGAGAATTAGCAGTGTATGAAAGCAAGGGATAATATAAATATTAATCTCTCTTTTGCTTATTTACTAAACATATAGCTACAAAATGGTCAGTATAACTGCTATTCCAATATAACTAACTGAACAGTTTTAAACTTTTTTAAAATTTTAAAAATTGTTTTGACTTTTATGGAAACCAGAGTATTTTGATTTTACATACACAATGGAACCTTAAACATCTTCTTAAGCACAGAAGTTAAATTGAAAAACTGTTTACCAAAGATGCAACGGACATTTCAGTCACCTTTCTTTTTCCACCTCATTTTTATTCCAGCGTACCTACTGACAAGCAAAGTTTACATTTTTGCTTAGAGTATACTCCTTTTCACTGGCAAGAAATTCTAAATCAGAATCAGCTATGATAGGTTGTGTATCCAAACCATTGAGCATGATAGAAGGCACGTTTTGTTTAAACTCTTATGTTCCTTTTGTGTTCGCTACTTGACAGTCTCCCTTACTGTTTCTACTACTTTCTATGCATTTTAGCTAGTAGGAGGTAAATCAGGTAAAATGTGGAAAATCCATCCAGCTACTCCAAATAAGGACTAAGGTATATTATATCAAATTAAAGTATGACTGCATTCCGATTAAGCATACAATCTCATTTACCCTGATAACTGCAGTAAAAGGGAGGTTTTACAATGGATTTCTGTATAGTTTGAAATCCCATGGGTTACTGGATGCTCAAACTGCTAGCAGAAATTACCAGATCTTCATTACTGTTCTTCAGATAAATAGGATGAAGGCTAGTGTGGCTATGTCTGCTTGTACTATTATTTCTCTTTCATTAGGTGAGATACACACTTCACTGTGCACAGTACAGAAGCTGGCTACATACTTCTAGCTTTCCTACCCCACCTGCCATGTTGCTGACAGTTAATGTTATATGTTTCTAGACAATGTAATGGAGAGCTATTACTAAAATTAGAATATCAGCTCAGAAGTCACCTAATTAGTTAAACTAATATATGAGAAAATCAAGAGCCCTGAAAAGAATTCAAGATTCTGCAATTCACGACAGCAACATGCTCTTTAGAAGGAATAAAAGCAAAAAGACAGATGCTGTCTGCATGATGATATGCAACTGAGTCCTCCTTTCAGCTTTTCTTACTATTACTAAAACTAGTGATTCTGTTGATAGCAAGTGATGAAGCCCACAGTGAATGTAATAGTTATTCCTAAATTACATGAACACATGTGAGTAGATCTGACCAATATTCACCATAAAATCTGAAGACAGAACCATGAGCGAGGGGAGAAAGCGAGAATTCAGTTATAGACACACATATAAAAAAACCAAACTACACGTGGTTCTTATTTCTGGTTTTTAATATTTTCTATAAAGAAACAAGAAACCCTTTGATTTCCAGGGCTCTACAGTCCATTCTCATTTATTCAGTCATTTCTCTCTAATTCAGTTTAGATTTGAAAAACTTGTCAAATCCATAATTTTTCTGCCCTGGGCCAAATCTCAAAATGTCTGTGTCAGTTTTTATACAGCTACTGTGGTTGAGCTTGTCCACTAGGGGCAGGAAGTAAGAAATACAACCACAAAAGTAAAAACAAAAAAAACCACAGTAGGCAAAGGGATAAAAGTGAATAAGCAGGCCAAAGAGTTTCATCAGGAAGAGAACACTCAGCAAAATAAGACAGACAGTAGGAAAAAAAATCAAATGGAACCTTTCTAAACTATATAGAATTCATAAGAAAGAGAGTTCTCAAGTAAAAAAGAAAATAATACTATTTTCATGTGACTTTTAAAAGAAAAGACAAAGCAAGGTAAAAACCACAGGAGCTACAATTCATGCTGAAAAACTTAGAGACGTGACACTGAATCCACATTCCCTTAAGGCAAAACACCTGTCTCACAATAGTGGTAAATAACAACATACTGTGCATCTCCTCCTTAGACTTCCCAGGTCACTGTAAAGTAAAATTTTAGATACACATCTGCTCCTGCTTTACCATACCAGTGTTAGGTGTGAGAAGCTGAATTATATACATCTATGTATATTCACTATTAAAGTATATGTTTAAAGCAACTTTTATTTTTCTTGATACCTTCACAATCAAGGCATGGACAGACAAAAAGGAGTCTTAAGAGATAAGAAAAATAAATACTGCCTAGTTTTTGTAGTATAGGCATAGCTTAGAAACAGAGAAATAGTATTGAACATCAGGCCCTTTTTGAAAAGGATCACATCTAGCATCACCAAATTCTATAGTAAATAACCTCACCTCAGAATTTCAGAACTTCAGGTTAAAGTTACAGACTTTTCAAAATGTCTTTTTCAAAATCTGCCACTTGTACTAGTGTTTTTATTACTTCAATTTGAAGATGACTTTAAGTAGTTTGGAAAATAATGAGAGAATTCCTTTGACAAGTTGATTTGATGATAACTTTAAAGATCCCACTCTCTCCGAGACTGAAATTCTGATTCCTCCTCAAACTGGGAGCTTTGGCTGCTGTTACCACAGAGCTTCAGTGTCTCAACACAGCAGAGCAAAGAACCTGTCAAAGCAGGACACATTTCCAAACAATGAGGGACTGATTCTCTCTGGTGCTACACTGACTGGTAAAGAAAAATAATGTAATGGGACTCTTTCCTTTTTGAGCTTGAGTATTGGTTGTTGGGTTGTTTGGGGTTTTTTTTTAGCATGTAATGCTACTATCCTGCCAGTGCTCACATTGCCTTTAAGACCACATGAAGCCAAATTAATGGTATAAGAAATAACCAGGAAAATTGTAGAGTGACTAGTCAACTTCCTAGCACCTATCTGCCAGTTTATATTCTTTTCCTCTTCTGCAATTCATGGTTCTCCCTAGTCAGAGGAAAGAATAATAAACACCAAAGACACTTGATTTTGCCTGGGAAAAAAAAACACAAACCTTAAACCCCATGGAAACTTAGGAGTATGATAGCTCTCTGTAATATGTTTCAAAGACCTGTTAAGCAGCAGGCAATTTTAGACTTGCGGCTTAAGACTTGCCTAAGAATTTGTCCATTTGACTTCTCCATATCACATCCTTGCATACTAGTCTAATACTGACTTTTGAAGGACCTATCTCTCTCCGTGTGAAGTCTAAGAAATCTGTCTGAAAAATAAAGGGCATTTAGTTTACATTAAGTATTCAATTTGGTTTCATTTTTCTTTAAACATTCTTTTTCTAGTCGTAGTGAAAGAGCAAAACTCTCAGAATTTCCTGCAACTGAAGAAGAGCTTGTTAAAATGGTGGGAATTGGAGAGGGAGCAATTCAACAGAAAACTATTTCAAAGTCATTCCTGTACAAACCAACCTGGATGCTGCAGAGAGAGACAGCAAAGGACTTGCACAATTGCTATTCAGTTTTATCTCCTGATCGTTATTCAGGCTTGTCTCCTGGAACAAATTACTCAGGCCAGCCACTCTTCCCTTCTGGATGGCACGCAAGGATTGTCGTCGGTACTCATCCCGAGCCCTGCGTGCTTTGTGGCTCCTTTCCTCATCTGCAGCTTTGGAGCGGCGCACTGGGTGGAATGAATGGGAAGGGTGAGGAGGAGAGACTTTAGAAATACAAACAGCCATTTACCCCTTTCTGTACAGAACAACTTACTACCTTTACTCCTTATATGACCTGATTTTAAGAACCTTCAAATTACAATGCACTATCAAAAAGATGGCTAACTGGATGACTTGCCTGGTGCTTCAAATACAGGCCCACCACTAGAAGCAGCACAACAGACACAAACTATCAATGATCTGATCACTACTGGCTATAACTGAGCCTCTACATACTGCGATTACATTTGACACTTGCTTTGGCTGTAATAAGAGATATCATGCTTCAGGACATTTTTTTCCCACTGGCAGTACACAGAGTTTTATGTTTCAAGAAGGAACGTTAACTACTGCTTAAAATTAAGTGTGTTTAACAGAATTCTTTGCAACTATGCACATAACTAGAATTGTAGGAGCTACTCCCAAAATTTACAGTTATAAAAACTAACATGTAGGTCACACTTTTTGTTGTTAAAGTTGCTTTCCTTCTGAAAGGAATATGCTCTCTCTGTTACAGTACTTAAAGTAAAAGAAGTCTCCATCTTGAAAATTGCAGTCTAAAAATGGTTTCAGTAACAATGGAGAAATTAATAACCATTGGAAAGGGCATACTGATGCTACGGATACAGTTGTCTCATACTTGAGTCTCTGGAATCACATATAAAGAACCAGAATCTGTACTGGAGAATTTAGTACACGTCTATCATTGGCACTGACCAGGGAGTTACATATTGCCATAACCTGAAATGAGACTGCTGCTCTGGCCATTGCAGGTCAGGTCATCTTTCACTAAAGCTTCTTCATTTTAAAACTAATGTACTAACAAACCTGTCTTCAAAATGGTTCAACTTAAATGCACCAAGAATTGTACTGCAAATATTCATCATCTATCAGCTCTTTTCTGGGGCCTCAAGCCCCATTTTGATGATTTTTTTGAGACACAAATAACTTCAGGCAGGCAAATTATTCCAGTGCAAAACAAACCATGAACATCCAGTGAAGCAAATATTAAAGCAGCAAGCTATTGCCTCCAGTAGCAATTATCAAACCTGCCATGACTATCCTGGCTTAGATCATACCCAATTCATAAAGTGCACACACTATTTCTTACTGTACTGTGATTGTACCTGTGACTAGGAATGCACGATGTAATACCAGACAGATGCATTTCATTAGGCTGTTTGAGTGCCTCTGGTTTACACTCCTGATTTAAAGCAAGCAGAAGTATAAATGGATTTGTCCAAATTATGAAAAGGTTTAATGGAATCAAGAAATAAAAGCACTCAAAGCAAAATGAAATGAAATAAAATCCTCTGGGCAAATGAGGAAAAGAGAAAAGACCTTTAAGCTTAGAGTTAGATATATTATCATAGATAGAAAGATATACAGGACTAAAAGCTCATGAAGATAGCATAATAAATGAGTCATAGATGTATACATACGTATACAACTGGCAGGATTTCAGTTTCACTTAAGTACATACCCTTTAGTTTTAGCTAAACACAGTAACAAACAACCGTACAGCACAGAAAACATGAGTAACAGGTTTCACTATTTATTTTAGAGGTCATTATTTTTAAGGGTAGATAATGTCATCTAAATACACTGCTTCAATGGCTCAAGTATATTAGTTACAAAATTTCTGTGATTTATCCTTTGTACAGTCACTGAGCAATGTCTGCTTTAAACGTGAACTTTGTGTTTCCAACAACACAAGAGACAGCAAGGAAGATGAGTGCAATGCAACTTGGTAAGACATTTAGAAACCAGTCACTGTTTGTCACAGTCATAGCATACAGGTCAAGGGCAGACCGCCTGGAGCTTCCCGGGATTCTTTTCTACTGATATACAGGCTAACTGGTAATGAAAAAGGCAAGGTATCTTCATGCCCCACTTTCCTCAGCAATAGATGATCTTTTCAACAGACATTCCTACTGTATTTTTGCTAGCTAATAAATCTATACTATCAGAAGCTAGTGACCTGGACTACGTTTTCCCAAACTATCAAACTTTACTATTTCTTATCACAAAACAATGGTGAGAGGTAATATAGTTTGCAACTGTTAAATATCAACATTCAGAAAACTTTTCGAATGTATGTATGACATGCAGCTTTCCCTATCCATTCATATATATGTATATGTGTTTACATATACGTATATACCCATACATGCGTATATGTGTCTGTATATACGTTGGAATAGGGAATGCTGCATGCCATAGATATCTAAATGCATGCATATAGTTTATATATATATACACACACACGTACATATACAGGCATCTCTTTCATGTTATGAAGAATTTTTATTGAAGCTTCCCAACTGAGGTATCTAAAGAATTGCATCATTGACCATAGGGATGCATAAGGTCTCTTAATGCATTTTTTTTTTTCCTCATTACTGGAGTCCTGATTTTCCCCCTATCCCATTCCTTATAGTTATTTCCAGAAACCTCACTCTCTTTCCTCTATCTTTAGGAGTTGTCTAGTACAGGTCCTACTGTGGATCTGTGTTGCTATGTTATCCCAAGTTTCTTTTAAAACTCTGACTGGTCAAGGGACTTTGTGTTGGGTAAATAATCAAAGTCACTGGCATCAATAACTGGTTTTGGTGACCGGAAATAGTATTGTGGGTAAAGATGCATCCAGCCATTGTGGTCAGGAATCTACAAAAAAGTTATCCACTACGCTCCAGACAAGATGTCATGTGCCACACGACCCATCCTCTCATACTGACACCTCCCACAAACTCATCTATTTTGAGAAAGTCACTCAAAGTCTGAAGGTAAATCTGGACATATTTCTGTAGCAGGTTTTTCTTACAACAGAATTTAGTGAATATTCATTATTTCTCTCTTTGACTCTGAACCATCTCACTAAGAAGTACAACTTTATGTCTGGATCAAGTCTAGCACAAATATTCTAAGATTGAAGAAGCCACAAATTCTGCATTACTTCTTGTATTTCAGGACAGATCATAGCCTTTCTCACAATAAGAAAGCAAAAGTAGTCAGGACTTCTAGTACTATCTTAAGTAGGAACAGTTTACTTTTCTTGACTGGTTGTCCTTTTACAGTAAATGTACTTCTGGCATGACCCATGTAGGAAGCATTAAATTCAACAGTCAATATTTTCAGCAGGGAGATTAGATCTCTGAATAATGTCTTCCATCCATAAAATCTCTGAATCATCACCATAGATCCATCTATCTAGCATCAAGAATTACTACAAATAATAATTTACATTTTCTTCATCTTCCTTTTGCATTGCGGAATAATGTCAGGACTGACAAGACTGGGAAATGAGGAATTTGATTGATTTGACAAGCTCACAGGAAATCTACAGTTCAGCCAGGTCCCCTAAGTCCATTGCCACTATCAGTTTTCTCTTCATGTGTTGGTGATACTATGGCAGGTACATCCTCCCTCAGTGCTTGTAAAATTAAGCAAACTTCTGCCCTGATGGTACCATAGCTTGTGCAGAAATGCTTGAGCTATTTATATAGGTTAGGCGCCAATATGATTGTAGCTGCAAGTAGCGCAGGCCAAAAATGGGTTACCAAACCCTCCTAGAAAGCTGGTAAAAATATCCAGACAGAGGTCTGTGCTGTCGTGATTATACAGTTATCATTCCTGGAACTAAATAGTTTAAATCCAGTTTGGACATGTCTACATGACCTGCAGTGTGAACATACTCGAACAACAAAGAAGAAACCACAAAGCTTGTGTATGCAATAGCTGTTATGATCCTATAGGTCTCAATTTGAGTTTGCCTTGTTTTCCTTGAACAGTTTACAAGAATCTACTATTCCTCTATGCTAACCTATGTTGTCTTTGGAGCAAAAATGCAAGATTACCTTTTATATTTTCACATAGGATTGGGAAATCCCTATTAGCAGTCCTGGCAAAGTTCTAATACCAAATCTTTAATACAGATGAGGTTAATTCGTGCTGTATTGCAGCTGAACTTGATCACACAATTTGTGAAGGACTGGCAACTTTCCACTTTGTATAATCTATTTTGTGCTTTTGAAGAGCTGTGAGTTACAGTTAGAGCTATGTGAAAGCAGAAAAAAAAAAAACGTGCTATGAATATGCATGCTCATTTTTAAATTATTTTGTTTCAGCTTTACCCTTGTTAATAATTCTTGGAAGCTTGTTTATGAGCAAATCAAAATAACTACTTAATAGATAAAATTCCATCTTCAGATTTTCTGAGTGCACATACAAATCACATGGTGTTTTTCCCATTCTTAATTGGAAAATAACTTCCCACAAATACTCTGCTATATGGCTCCAGTTCAGCAATCTTCTTAACTGAAAGCATGTGAATAATCCCAACCCTATTCAACAACACACTCTGAGACCTATTGAAGTTCAGTGAGCACATACTTAAGGTTGAGCACTTGCTTGGTTAATGCATAGCTGAACTGGGGACTACTCTCTTTAAAATTCAGCATTTGATCAAATGCTTCTGCCAGTAAACTCACTCATTTGAATTTCTGTGGAAGCTAAGTATCAAATGAGCATAAATTCCTTAAAAATCAGACAAAAATATATTCAGAGACATAGTTTGTAGAAGAACATTCAAATAGAACAATATAAAAGAAGCTATAATGAGTCAGCCTGGTACCCTACTTCCAACAGAGACCAAAAGTGGGTGCTTAGGGAAAGGCATAAGAATAGATCAAGTCACTCAACTCTCTCTACATTTTTACTGGAATAACTTTTGTCTGGAGATGGGTACAGCTGATCAGATGGTATCTGAGCACTTCATTGCTTGGTGCAGTTTGACAGGGTTTGTAAGTGTACTAACAGAACGCCTTTTGCAATACGCAATCAGATGAATATTTATGCTATGGTTTTTCCTATTACATTTTGCAGATTTCTGCTTTCACAGAGAGAGGTCACACTTACAGACTCTGATATAGGGTATTGTTTACTGAATACATTAGAAACCTACAAAACGGAAGCATGTAGAAAGTTGATGTCAAGGAATTGATGTCAAAATCTTTATGGCTGTAACTTCTAACAAAGATAACGAACTGATGTAAAACATTTGGGTAGAATGGTTCTTGACAAGACAATAGGATAAAAGGAACAGGTAGATCTGAAACCAGAGAATCAGAAAACTTTAGTTGGCTGGTTGCCCAAGAAGCTTGACTAAATGTGTCGTTTAGGCGAACTTAGCTCATTATAATACTAAAAATCACACTCCCTAACTCGAAGACCCAGGACCGCTGAAACACCCTTCCCCAAAGGGCATGCATAGTAAAAAAATGTTAGATAAGCAATATGTAAATGAGCTGTCCAGATCCTGGTGTTGGAGGTTGTGCTAGGGTCATGGCCTAATGATAAGAATATGTATATAAACAGTTACAGAAGAAGCCCAGATGTGCCAGCTTTGTGGAAAACCACCTAGCACCTGAATTTGCACAACTTTTCAAATAAATCAGTATCTCGTCTCTTGTGTGTGATCGGCTCATTGCACACCAGGTAACGAATCCATCTTTTCGGACAACAAAGGTCCAAAACTAATCAGAATATATACACTCCTCTATCCAAGCTTAGCCTTAGTTCTCACTTCTCAGTTTCAAAGAATCAAAGCTTTGAACAGCAGACTCTCTGAATCAGTCTTTTCCACTATTCATCTTCTCATTTGCCAACCAATATATTTGCTCCACATACTAACTCACAACCACCCTCTAAAATACCCCAGCGTATATCCATGATATGAAATCAAAGTGTATAATTGCTCTTACAACATCATTTTCTTCCTTTTAGTACTGATTACTCAAATTATTCTACATTTGTCATTTAGTATATTAAAAAGCACTAAAATTATGTACTTCAATTAACACAGTGGTACTATGGGCTTTTATTGTTATCTGGCACAATCAGGCAAACAGCAGAAGCAAACTGAACCGAACAACAGAAACTAATATTAGCAACACTTTGCTTATTGCCTTGGCAATAAACAGCTGAGGGATAATGTGATGAAGAGAGCTGAATCCTCATCACATTCTAAATTCCATCTAGTAAATAAATTAGTAGTGTCATCAATATCATTACTACATTTGCTCTCCACAATAGCTGCTCTAGCACTGCTATTCCTCTTCAACACTGACCCCCCCAGCACTGTTGAATATGAAGGGCTGACTTCAAGGAGGTAAGACACAAAGGAGCCTGGCCTTGTTCCTAATGGACAATATGGTTTCCATTGCAAGTGTGTAGAGACAAAAGATGTTAATATTACATCTGTTTGTAATTCTCTTATGCATTCATGCATTTATTTATTGCTTAGAAAAGATGACAAGTGGATAGCTTTGCCTAACTTCACTAACTTTCCTCTTGGTGTCCCAAAGAAATATTTGAAGGTAAAATGAAAGAATTGCATAAAAATGGGGGGAAAAAAATCTGGAACTGAAATCAAAAGTGAAAAATCTGCTGAATCTGAGGTACTAGTTCATTCCATAGCAATTTCAGATGTTCCCACTTCCAAATATTTGTTATTGCTTGTCTGATGGAGGTTCTGGCTTCTGCAGCAAAGTTAAGGAAACGGAAGATGTTAACATTCCTCAGGAAGCTCAATGCAAAGTCTGATGGCATAGTCTAAACTAGTCAGGAACTGGTTTCAGATAAGGCACTAAACATTGCATCTTCATATCTTAAGTTGTCACGCCCATTTGCTAATGGAACACAGTTCTAAGCCCACAAACCAACTGGGATAAATTGAGACACTGAGATAAGCATAAGAGGGTAAACAAGGATGTGATACACTCTAGTCATTAGTCTGCAGTTAGTTTAATGCTAAATCAATTACTGATAACAGCAGAAACTCTGGCAGCACAGAATTTACAGTAGGCTGCAAAAACCAACTGTGGTGCCGCTGGCTAGAAGGTGCTGAGCTTTTGTTTTGCCACGGCAGTACTATTATTGGTGACCAGGTTAGACAGCTTGAAATGATGCGAGCTGCAGTCAGTCACCCTTTTGACCGCAAGCAGACAGGTCTATGGATATTGAGGCACACAGACTGAAGGCGATAGAATTCCTTCAGAGCACACAGATACTCCAAAGTTTATACAAAAAAAATACTGGTGGTAGATTATATCCATCAGCATATGATGCACTCAAAAGTGTTTTAACAGACCAAAATGCCATTGCAGAAATCATGGTCAGAACATTTCATAGCTTGTTCCTTTCCTCTCTGCCTTTTCCCATAATTCCTCTATTGCATTTCTGATATCTGTCCCTGTACAACCAGCATTCCTTGAGAAAACAGAAACGACAGTTTAAAACCTCAGTTACCTCTTTAGTGCAAGAGTAAGAAAATGATAGCTGGGTTTAGTAATGTTTATAGGATTTTGGATTATTGCCAATTTCGGTGTAAAGACAGGCTGGATTTTTTTATTTTTTTTTTTGGTAACACGGTTGCAAATGTATATTTTTTCCTTATATAAAATAAATGCTAAAGTATGCTAGGTTGCCAGCTGATCCTAATTTTCTACAAAACTAAAGGGCTATTTTTTCCCCGACTCATTTTGCTCTTAAACACTCAAAATACAGAAAGCTACAGTTTTCCTTTCCGAATAAAAACATACATCTCGATTTAGATAATTCTTCAGGAATTAATTATCTTCTTTTTATTGACAATGTAATATACAGAGGTTTTATTGATCAAAAATGAGCATAGCCTGCTATGAGCTTGGAAAATGGCACCAGTGCAACTTATACAGATTTAATTCATGTTGTACAGAATGATTCACTATCACATCAATTCCAGGTAATAAGACTTCAGCAATTAGTCCTGAGGAGCTCCTGAAGTAATGACTGAAACTATAAAATAAACTCATTGCATATTTTGGAACATTTTTTTTACTTCTGTCAGGAAATAAGTAACACTACAGCAATATTTTTTCCCTACTTCATGAGGTATTTCATGCAACACAAACACTAAAACTCCATTTTTAGTATTAGTTGAATACCTTTGTGTTATATACAATTAATACAATAACTTCACAGGAGCTGAAACTTTCCAATCATTACATTTCCTTTTTCTGCAAAGTAATCAAATCAGTATAGATGTGGGAAATAAAAAATATTCTTCCCCCACCAAAAATGCACAATTCTTATTGCAAGCAAATTTCCTATTTCTAAAGCCAACTATACAATAGATTCCAGATTGGAGTAGACGTACATTTTATTTGCCATAACCTATTAAGTCTTATTTACTCATAATGTGGGCCTTTACTTACACCTATAGCATGTATGTATACATATATATAGCAATATATTTGTTCTGTTCTTTATAGGCTTTTAAAAAAAAATCACTAATGTATTTTTAAATCAATCATAATGATGATATTAATAAAGAATTTCAAGGTGGCAAAGCAGGAACAGCACCTCCATACAGTGAGATCATCATTGTGAGGATTTTTTTCAGGGCAACAATCTAACTATTATTTACCATAATCTTTTGAAATGAAGCAAGTTTCAGTGCTGATATTATAGCTTGACCCCGTTACCATATGGAAGTAATTAAAATACAGATGAAGACAGATTTTACCTCTTCAGAGATAGCTGAGGACAAGCTGTCAAAATAACTGTGCCCAGAATTATTATTACTAAGCCAAAACTGTTAATTAATTACATTAGACAAAAGTTAATTATCTCAGTCACTGTACATGAAAAATTTTCTATAAGGCATTAGCATGGATTCTTATTCAGAAAGAACTGTGAAATTGGTAAACTCACAGTAATTTCTGTCTGTAAGGTCAAGCTAGTAATTTACTGCAAAATAATATAGTATTTTGCATCGCTCTAGGTAGAAGATTTTTGGCAACATCTTTTTCCATTCTACAAATCTCCTTTTATTTGCTTTCAGAAATACATTTATCCTGTGAAGGTAATTTTACTCACACTGTTCTTCCCACTCCTGGTCATCGTCACTGTGTTGACTATGCTGCTGAGCTTGCTTGAGGCTCAGATACAACTCTTTTGCTCGGATTTCTTCCTGCTGCCTTATTTGTTCTTCACCCTTTTGTCTTTCCTCTTCTTCTCTTTTCTAGGCAAAATGAAGTAAAACAGAGGTGACTAAAGAGGAAGAATGTGCCAAAAGCTAGGACACTGTTTCAGTTGCTTCCTCCCACAGAGTAGTGGTGTTACCTTGGACAAATCACTGTCTCTTCTAACTTTGGGTTTCTCACCTATCACGACAGGCATAATAGAAGTCTCCTACCTCTCAGGAATTTCTGAGAAAGGTATATTTTGAGATGCACAGATATCACAAGAATAAGGAACATATAAGTATCTAAGACCTGAAATCTATAAGGAAAACATGTTTTATCATGAGGCATCAAAGCCTATGCTATCCTACAATCCATAAGCAATGCTCGTTTTAAGTCCACGTGTACTCCCATTGGAGATATCACCGTCACTCAAGCAGTATACACATCATCTAGAGAATCTGTAGAATTCAAAAACTGGTTTACTGGTGTTCTTGGCTTAGCAACTGTCACCATGTGTCATCATAACCAACACAGAGAATAATGTTTTCCAAATATCAAGATCATTACATTCTGGAAGAAAAGCCAGATCCTTCAGCACACACCACTCACTTTGCAAAATGTAGTTAAAAGTAACATACAAAAAAGTTTCCTCCCAAGAAGACCTCTACAGCTGGACTTCCACATACTATCAATAACCCAGGAGCTATTAAAGGTCAGAAGTGGGATTTCATAAGGTTGTTCCGACTTTGCTCCCTTTCGGTGGGATTTTAATGTTTCATTGCAATAGGACCAGCAATAGTTGAACACAGAAAAAAAACTATGATTACTTTAAACTGGAAAACAATTTTCTCAAACGCACCAACACTGAGCTGATATATTTGAGGAAATGTTTTTTAGCTACAGACTTTGTACTAAATTTTTCCTTCTTCAGACATGGTATGATGTAAAGTCTGAAAATTATGATCAGATGGGATTGCTCCTGCTCTCAAAGGGGAATCAGACACATTTAGCTTCCTTTTTATTATATCACATTTGTGCACTGTGAACTTTGTGAAAGGGCGTATTTTCTAAGTTTGTTTTCAAACTTTCGTCACAGCAGGATTCACAGTATGACCAAAACAATCCATGGTCTATTTTAATAAGTACTACAAATATGAGTGGAGAGATTTAAAAATGGGGCCAAAATCTGACTTCTATTAGTCTCTAAACTTTGTGGGTCCAGAAGATGCAAAACTGAACTTTCATAACATTGCTCATAATCCTGCAAAAAGTAACTTCTGTATCTTTTACATGTAGGTTCTTCCTGTTCAGTGTTTGAAGATGCTACTTACATGAAAGTTCATATTATGTATAAATGTTTGATGTAATTCAACCTCTTTTTAGGCTGAAAGGGGCTGAACTATCCAAAAGCTATATGAGTTCAGTAAAAGTATATATAAATTGATTAGCACTTCCCTACAGTACACAGTCTAATACATTGGAAAAGTACTCATTCAAAGATTGTCTGTCCTATCTTAACACCTGACAGGGCACAAATACAAAAAGCAACCCAAATACAGTAATACGAATGTCAAAACAATGTTGCTGGTTAACACCCCTAAGAGGGACTCATACAAGTTTTCCCAACAGTGAAACAGGTGTCTGGCCTGTCTGTCTGGGAAACAGAAAGAACCTTTTGTCCACCATGGGGAAGGAAAGGCTTGTTTTTCCTTTCCTCTCTCCACCCCTCTTCTCTATAGCTCTGCAGAAGTTACCTGTTGTTAACCAGACAACTGGAATTAAAGGAAGACAACTCCAATTCTTTTCAGAAGACAGTTTTCCAAAGCAAGCAATATTGCTGTTTGCAACCTCTAGAAGCTCAGTGAGGGCCAGAAGCAACAGAAGGAATCAGGACTCTGTGGTTGTTCTGGTCATGGATCACACAACAGCACATTTAAGGAAGAATGACCAAAAGACTGAAAAGCAGCAAGCAATTTAGCAGTGACAAGCAACACCATCTTCAGAGTGGGAAAATGGAACAAATGCAAATCTCCGTCCTTTGAAAGAATTCAACCACTTTTCCATTTCCCTAAGTAACATAAATCAACATTTCTCCATTTAGTACATCTGAGCTCCACCAGTTTATACCAGCAGACAATCTGTCTTCTTGATAATACAACAAATCAAAAGACCTGAAATGTTGGGTATTAATAGTGATGTGCCTATGCAGTAAATAATAGTTCATCATGTGTGTTATGGAACAATACCTTAGGTTGCTCTTATTATTTCTGAGAAAGAAAAGCCTAGTACTGTTCTTCAGTCAATTTTAATGCTAGTATCTTTGATTATTTCTAACAATCATCCTCCCATTGTTACCTCCTGAGTCCTAAAAAGATTAGTTGAGTGGACAGTTCATTATATTTGAAAAGTCAATGCTTTTAGGAAGCACTGATTTCAAAGCCCAGCAGCTTCTTCAGAACAACAACAAAAAAATTATCTTTTTTAATACCCCATAGAATTAGGGATTCCACACTTCAGTAGCTAGTAAATGGCTCTATTCCCTTCTTGGAAAAAGTATGCAATCAGCTATTCTTTATTCCAAGGAGAAGAATATTTATTCACTTAGCTTCACTACCTAAAAAAAATTGCAATACATCTAGGCTATCTTTTCAGGAAGATGGACAGACATAAGGGTAATCCTGGGTTATCAAAATGTTTTCTATCCAACATCTCAAACCACAAGGTAAATTTAATATGCAGGGATCAATCTCACAGCCATTTCCCTAAATCACACAAGAGTTTTGTCACAAGTTTAGGTTTTTTTAATGTAGCTATTGTTAAAACATTGGTAGTAAAAAGATGAAAGTGTCAAAAAAAATGAACAAAAACTGGAATTCAGGTAGAGTTTGAGTTCTTAATGGAAAGCAGTAATGCCTACCAAGAGAATTCTACTTTTTTTTTTATGAGAAGAGGGAGATTTAAGTCAAAGAAGAGAGAATAACAACAAACAATGCTGGCACTTGATTCTGAATTCACAAAACTTTTTCATATCGTTTTCCTTTTTAAAGGAGAAAAAATTTAAATTCTGTCTATTCAAATTAGCACACGGATGCATGTGCAAGTATATTGTACAACTCCTTAAAGGTGTGAGGAGAAACAACCCTTGTTAGTAAGACACAGGAAAGAAAAGTCATCCTTTTGTCAAGTATGTGTACATTTGTATTTAAAATGAACAACAATTGAACTTTTCACATTCACTCTACTGGAAGAATACAGAAACCAGTTTATCTGCTTCTCCCGTGAACCCAACCCTGCAAATCAGAGCTGAGTGAAGAGCTATAATAACCTACAAACATCACCTTCTGCCTGATGGTTGAGAGAGACTGTACTGTGTGCCATGACCCCTTTCAGCTCTTCCAGGATAATTAGGAAGGTGACAATTCAGTACATAATTGCCAATTGCCAAGAAATGCCAATCTGCTGCAACAGATCACACTGGCAATTCAACAGGCAGCAGTAATCCTCTCCAGCTTGAACTCCACTGGAGAATTTGAACATGCTAAATGATCTTATCTAGCCTCTGGCAGTTGAGCATTTACCACAAACTTGTTAGTGTAAATGTGTCTCTCAAAATGTTTGATAGCTTTACTACAGCCAGCTCTAAATAATATTTAATATTAGCCACGGTTAGCTTCTAATGTTTCAGTCCAATGCAGATGAGAGCTTAGGTCAGCGTTTAGTTTTTGCTGCAGAAAGACTTAAAAAATATATGGAGGGAAAGCCAAAATACAGTAGTTGATTTTTTTACAGTGGAAAACTGAGCTTCTGGCTGCCATGGCTCGCTCTTGGGGTCTCTCCAGGGAGTCTTAGGGGATGCAGGGAAGCTGAATGACTGCCATTCTGCTCAGGGCAAAACCTACAAGGCTTATTTGTTACAACAGTCGTCTCCGAAGCAAAGGATGCCTGGGATTCCCTCAATGCTTGACACTGGCAGGAAGTGTCTTCGGCAGCCCTGAGAGCTGCAGCTAGGTCAGCTGCATTACAGCTGCTGTGAATCTCCTGTGACCCCTGAGCAATCACCCCTGAGCCAGGGCAGACATTCAGGCTACCTGCCACAGCTGAGAGTACAGCTCGTCTTCAGATCTGAGCCCTTAGGACTCCCCGCTCTTTAGAAGGGAATCTGGAAATCCCAAGGTCCCTTGCTCCAGGACAGCCTGCTCTCAGCAAGGCTTACACAGCAGGCTGAATTCAGAGACAACAGTTCTCCATAAACCCACCTGACAGTTTCCAACAGAGCTGTGAGTATCAGCAGAAATATGTCCAACTCCTGCTCAACCTTTTTCTGAGAAAATTCTCACTTGCATCAGAAAAAAAAGTGTTTGCAGAGACATTATTTTCTTCTCTACTACCAGCGTCTCAAAAGGAACATAGGGTTTGCATCACTTCACTCTGCATGTATGTGCACAGAGACAAAAGTACGAAATGCAGTCATGCTTTATTACATAGAAAAAGTTACATTTCAGTCGTAGATATGCCCCAGGTCATGCTATTCATGCATGGCTCATATGGGGAGATAACAACATATTCTGGTTCACAAGGACTCTCTTTCAGATGAGACAGAAAACAAAGCTAAGGACTACTCCTGATAGGGAGAGATCTGAGATTTATTGCACGTGCTGGAGCAGACTCTGCTTGGGTAACTTGCCATGGATACAGTGACAATCTACTAAAAGGTTGTCTCTGGATCTTGGGGACTCGTCACAGCTTGAATTCCTGATGTGTACACTATCCTCATCAGTGGCTCAGATTTTACCATCTACCCATGGAAAATATCAGAGTTTTGCTAGTTTTTAGTAGCAATCCAGAATAAAGACAGTGGCTTCAGCAACGCAATCATTACTGATGTCACCAGGGAAAAGATTTTTCTTTAAAATTAATATCACAGTTCCTCACAAGTAGGATAGAAAAACCTGAAGACCTGATTCCCGGCAGAAACTAACAGCTGACTCACTTCCAACATTGTTCAACAAATAACTGCATAGAAAAAAAGAATTTCTGAACTGTGGTCACACAGAAAAAACCAAAATGAACCATTACTGAATTATTGTAACTGCCATTGAATGAACCCAACTGAGGCATTTTCAAAATGAACCAGGTGCCAAACCCCAGCAAGAAGCTGTTCTTGTATTCCTGGATTCTAAATATGCTGTCCTTGGGAAAGA